AAAATTTTGACCGTTGTTTTGACCGATTTTATTTTTTTTTCCCCGCTCTTCCCCAACATGGTTTCTGTGAGCTCTAAGAATAACAAAAATAATAAACCCAACGTTCAAGTTATGCCTGGAGAAGTTTTATTTCGCTTTTACTTCCACCAGTGTCAAAATACCATTCTTAGCAGCCCCGGTGCCCCGTCACGTGGTTGGAGATTTTTGTTTCATGCCTTTCTGGTTAGAGATGTCTTGCTTGAGAATTTTATTTCGTGCGTGTCATAGAACAAGTATGTTTTTTATGACATTTATGAATGTGACCAGTCTGGGAACATGCTGTCTGTCTGCTCGGGTTTAAGCCAAAATTGAAGTCATTGTAACTAGAATTTCCAATTTTGGGGAGAGCTGATCCGTCAGCTGGGGGTCAATAAATTGGCAGAGTCATCTTTTATAGCATGAGAAGGTGATTTCTGCCTTAGAGGAATTGTCAGGGTGAGGTTTTGATTATCTGAAATATTCGTCAGAAAGATTCTTTCTACCTTGCCCTGCCTTTTCTTTTTGTTATAAAATTTATATTAACTGTAGTATTAAATAAAAAAAAAATGCATTTAAATTCTCAGTGCCTGTTACAGAAACCAGTTTTGTCCTGAAGTGCAAGAATCAAGCCTGCAGCATCAAAATATCAAAGAATTTCAGTCTCCTGTTGCATTAAACCTACCTCTCTTATTTCAGCTCCTCCAACTCTGAAATTCATGATTGAGAGCTGTTAACTCCCAACGATAGCTCCTGGCAAGCAGGGCTTGAGGTTTTTTTAATATTTTATTTTAATTATTTTTAGTTTATAGCTCAGCAACTCGGCTGACCCAGGGGAACACTTAAACTAAATTTGATAGATGTCAAGTTAGGAAAAATAAAGACAGCAGTGTTCTTTCTGCCTGCAATTACAAATGTTTGCTGGAGACTTTTCTGACAGGATTAAGCAGAGCAGAGACCTGGGGAGAGCAGAGAGGGACTGTCGCTGAGGTCACCTTGGCTGATGTTCTCCAGAGCCTGGAAGGGGAGGAGGACTAGGACACCCCCCGGTAGCAGTTGCTCCTAACTCCAAATGCAGCAGGTTTTCCCTTTTTTTCCCCCTTTTCCCTGAGTCCTGATGCGTCTTGCATCAACTGCAGGAGCTAAAAAGAGAGTGCTTGTTTTTTCAGCTGACATTTGGAGCTGTGGAGACCTCTGAGATGCCCCGTAGATGGGCTGAAAAACCCCCAAGAAAAACAAAAAATGGAGCTTAACGAGCTGCAAAGGAGTGAGGAAATGCTCCAGGAAACGATGCAAAAGCCTGCTTTTGACAGTCTACCCCAAACCCAAATATCAGAAACATCCCCCAAAAATGAAAAAAAAGTAGATCTGCTGTTTTCCAGTCCATTTTTTTCCTTGCAATCTAAAATATATGAAGACACTGTAAAATGGACTGATGCAATCAGTGAGAAAGGGAGAAAAATTAGACTCCTCAAAGTTCTATAGGAATTATTCAGAGGGGAAAAATGTTGCATCTCTCCAGTATAATATACTGGCAAACTGCATCAGGGAAAAGGAGTGGGCTCTCCAGTTTTTTGTCATTAGGTCATGGGCTCAAATCATGCCCAGGAATTTAATCCAAAACTCAGCGAAATCAGCAGGAGCCTCATTACTGGGAATCAATACTAAGGTACACAAGAAAGGACAAACAGAAATTGTCAGAAAAAAATATTGAGCATTCATATGTTCTTTTGAATATGTTCAGTTTTTTCTTTACACTGAAATAAGGGGAGGAATTTCTTACTGGTCTGATCTTTCCATAATTCTTTTCAATATTTGTTTTTGGGTGACCCTCACTCTTATAGCTTTACTTATATTCTATCACTGGAAAAGAAGGGGAGATACAGGCTGGGTATGAATAAAGTACACACATCCAAAATTGGGTTTTGTTTGAAGGTGGGAAACCCTTTTTTTTACTGCTATTTTTAATTATGAAAAAAATCTAAATTATATCTACGGATATGGATAATTTTTCCCACTCTAAAAAAAGGCTGACAGAGAAGTGCTGCATGAATTGATATTGCATGAAAGTTCTTCATGGATCATGTGAGATCAGCTGGTTCCAGCCCAATTTGGGGAATTTTCTGAGTGAAATAATATTGTCAAAGGGGTGCCCACTGCACAAAGCTCAGCATAAAATGCCCTGAATCCTACAACTTTCTAAGTATAAAATCTGAACTACATTTTCCTGCTGGAGATGTCCTTTCTGCTGTGGGAATTGAGGGTGGTACTACTTGCTCGTGATTTAAACTGTTTTCACTGTCTATTTTCCAATATTAATAATTAATTTTAAGGTTAAATCCTTTACTGGATGGACAGGTATTTTTATAACACATTAAAGAACATTTACTTAAGGTGAAGCACAAGCTGATTTATCTCTATAACCATGGAGGGCAAGAGTATTCCCTCCATATTTTTCTTCCCAGCTTTCAGACAAAGAAATCAACACATATATATATATATATATACATATATATATATTTGCAATACTTGGTAGTAATAAAAAAAAGCTGAGGTCATCTGAATTATTTCACAATCAGGCAGGTAAAGTGGCTTAGCAGATTATGAAACCCCACTGCTGCCAAATTGCTCCATGATGATAATTATTTGCTTCTGTTCTTTAATTCTGGGTGGGCAATGCTGCTTTTCTTCTGTCCTCTGGAAAAAAAAAAAAAAAAAAAAAAAAGCAAGATGGCTCTCCCTATGGTTTTTGGCTTAACTGCACACATCTGGGTTTTGTATCAAAAGAAATAAATATCAGCCCTAATTAATCCTCTGAGGCTGCTGGGCACGAACTCCTGAGCGACACAGGCTTTAATTACAGCTTCAGCCAGGGATGGAGTTGGTTGGGGAAGGCTGGCTGTTGATTTAATGCACTATATCATGTCCAAAAGGATCTGGAACAACACTGATTTACATCAGCTGAATATTTGGCTCATTTGAGACTCCCTTGGGAAGGAGAGGGGCGATACCTATATCCATACACTCCCCCTGAGTTGGTCAGATGTGGTGTGCAGCAAACTCTATTGCAAAATGCTCGCGAAATCCAGTTTGCTGAGTTCAAATGTTGAAGTTGTTTAACTGGGGGAAAAAAATAGTGTGATATTGAAAAAAAAGCTCTGAAAATATTATGATCATATATTCAGATATTTTCTCTAGGAATATGAACTCCTTGAGTTACTAGTGCTTTGTAAAAGGTTATGTAGAATGATTCAACCACAAGATAAAGCTCCTGTATTTCAGAAAAAGAAGTATCTAAATGACTATATTCTGATTACTTTTACATGTTTACTAATTCAGCTAATTAAAGATAGACTTCAGGGATTCAGTTGAACAGCAATAAAACTTGTTGAGAATGAGGTTTGTTACACATCCTACAATTCCAAACCTGTCTGTCTGTGTCTCTTGTATTCCCTCCTCTTTTTTTTTTAAGAAGACTTTAAAACCAAGTTGTTTGTAAATATATGAGTGAATTCAGAGTAAGTGAAAGTAAAGAGACTGTTAACACTGTCCTCAGTACAGCCAGGCTTTGTGCAAACTTCCCTCCCTTCCAGTACACCTCAAGTCTAACTTGCAGTAAACGTTGTTATTCTAGTCCTGGGTTTATCTACCAAAGGGCTGCCAATGTACTAAATTGTGTGGTTGATTCTTGTAAAGAGTGCTAATGAAACTCACTATTATTATACCTATTTTCCCTCCCAGCCAAAGCCCAAACTGGAACTGTAATCCCTAGGAGTTCAAACCTGGTATATTAATGCCCTGCAAAACTCCTCCTGCCTCCCCACGATGCCATCTGAAGTCATCCCTGTGTATCCAGGCTGGTTTTGTTGTGCTAGGCAGAGGTGTGTTTACATGACTATCCATCTATTACAGGATATTATTTTTCCAGTGGAGAGTATTTCAAATATTTCCAATGAAGACTTTTCATTTCTACTTTTTTTTTTTTAACTGCTGTTACTGAAAGTAAAAAAGAAAGAAATAAAAGCATACCAGAAAAATCTACAGTAAAGTCAGAGAAGCAGGGAAAATTGAGAATTTAGAGTCATGGAATCATTTAGATTAGAAAAGACCTCTAAGATCATCAAGTCCAACCATTTCCCCAGCACTGCCAAGGCCACCACTAAACCGTGTCCCCAAGTGCCACATCTACATGTCATAAATCCCTCCAGGGATGGTGACCAAAGCACTGCCCTGGACAGCCTGTTCCAATGCTTGATAAGCCTTTCAGTGAAGAAATTTTCCCTAATATCCAATTTATCTCCCCTGGCACAACTTGAGGTCATTCCAGTTGTTACTTGAGAGAAGAGACCAAAATCCACCCCACTACAACATCTTAAAAGATGAGGCTGATGCTGACATTTGCTCTGCTATATGATGGCCCCAGTGGATCCACAGATTCTAGTCAGAAGTCTTTAATTACATACAGTATTTTCTGGAATTCCTTGCATGTTCCTTAATTTCACACATATATTTTTTACACAGATATGTCATATGAAGACAAAGCAAGAGAATCCTGTAAAAAAGTAATATCATTCTGATTAATACTGGTGTACAGCCTGGATTCTTGAGAGTATTTCACAAACACTAAGGGCCAGATTAATTGATGTAATGGCAGGAAATCCATGGCATAATAACCTGATTTAATTCTAGAAATCTTGCACAGTAACTGCTTCTTCGTGCCCAGTCTGTACATGCTCCTCGTGGAGATTCCAAGATCTGCCATTAGCTCTGATTTTTCTTCAAATCCTTTGATAATAGGAAGAAGTAAAATCACAGTTACCTAAACAGCAATCCCTGCTATTCTTGGGCAACCAAAGCCCTCTTGAAAGCAAAGGAATGGCTGCAGAAAGGTCATTGCCAGGAAGCATTCAAACACCATTAATCCTCCTCTATCTCCTCACTGCTGATAAGACTCTCTTTAGACCCTGGAGTCAAGTTCCTCTTACCCTGATATGTTCAAGTGCTCAGTGTTGTGCTCCTGTTATTCATGTCTGGCTGGAGGGTTGAGTTTCTCTCCCAGTTTTTCCTTTCACTTCAGCAGCTCTGGAGCCAGGACAACGTGGCCTCATCAATTTTACTCTTCTCCACTACGAGCGAATCTTCTACCAACAAAAACCAAGGGTAACTTTTAACACGAGTGTGCAACATCCATGTTTGTGTTTAAATGTTCACTCTACATTTACCAATGATATAGAAGTGTCATGTTTGGGCACGTGCAGAGAATACAAAATTACCTCCTGACCTCCCTCCTCCATGAATGGCACCATTAATTTTGTTGTAACTTCATTCACACCTAGAAATTCATAGCTAGAAATGCGTGTTTGGGCATTAGGACAAAAGGTACCCAAGACTGCAACAGTTAATTTGAGATTTTTCATCTTTCTTATTTCTCCAGCTATTTACGGGATCATGCAACCCAAGATAAAAGTTAGTAATATGGATTCTGCAGTAGTCCATTCCACCTACTCTTTGTCATCTTGCTGATCTAAACAGAAACCTGTTATACTAATGAATTTTGGGATTCTTTTCAGCTCCCTTACAACAATATCTGAGCACCTTATTGTTTCTAAACCTGTATTTTACTTAGCAGAGAGATAAAACAACCCTGTTTCACAGGTGGAGAAGTGGGACACTGGAAGATAACAGAAAGGGAATTCAGCTCAAATATGCCCTTTTAAGTGAATTATCTATACACAGCACAAGTACTACTGCTTGTGGAAGCACAACGGAAATACCCTGTTTCATGAAGTCATCTATCTTCCAAATTAATTTTGATCCTCTGTTTACACTTGCTCTTTATTTTTCAAAACAACCCTGAAAGGCAAAAGCAGAGTTTTGAGAACCTTCATGTAATAAAGGAACAATTAAGCTTTTGCTCATATGAGGAAAAGGTTTTTAGTGCAGTGAAATATCCATCAGACTTTGCATTTCTCAGAGCTACTTAAATAGCTCAGAAAACCCACCTGATTAGGCACTTTACATATAAAACAAAGTCTTGTTTGTTAAAATAGACTTTAAACATCAAATTAAAGTTGCATGACTCAGAATTGTACACAAATAAATAACTGGCTGCATACTTGGAACAAATGTTGTTTTATTGTGCAATAAATATTGCTGATGCTGCTATTTAAAATGTGAATGAATTTGTCCTTCTGGTTGTGCATTACTCGTAATGATGGGGAAGGGAGCACTGAAAACTTTTTCTGGGATATCATTTTGGCAGGGGGCAAAAGCTGGGATGCAAGAGACTGGTTGGATGCTGTGCACCCTTGGAACCAACCTGACAGGACTGGAAGTGCTAAATTCTGCCAGCAGACATGACCATGGGGCCAACTTCATCCTGTTTATTCAGCAAGCAAATATGTAGTTAAGGTGGGACTGACTGTGATCTAATTCTTCTGAGAGAGACTCACAAAATTCTTGCCAAAAGAAGCAACAAGAGGTATTGTTATTGCTGAGAGCTGGTCAGTCCTTGGACAGTCGTGCAAAGATCATCTTCTTGAGTGAACACACAAACCAGGTGGGTCCTTCCCCCAAGGCCCTGTTTTAACAACTCTCAGGCACAATCTGAAGTTCAAAGATGTTTAATTGCTTGCTTGAAGTTGAACAAGTGTTTAAATAATTTTCTGCATATAGAACCATAAATGATGTGGGTTAGAAGGGACTTTAAAGCTCATCCATTGCCACCTCCTGATAAGGGAAGGGATACCTTCCAGGTTGCTCCAAGCCCCATCCAACCTGGCCTTGGACACTTGCAGGGATGGGGCACACACAATTTCTCTGGGCAACCTGTGCCAGGGCCTCACCACCCTCACAGCTCAGAATTCCTTCCCAATATCCCATCTAACCCTACCCTGCCAGTGGGAAGCCATTCCCCCTTGTCCTGTCCCTCCAGGCCCTTGTCCAAAGTCCCTCTCCCACTCTCCTGGAGCCCCTTTAGGCACTGGAAGGGTCTCCAAGGTCTCTCTGGAGCCTTCTCCTCCCCAGGCTGAACACTCCCATCTCTCCCAGTCTGTCTCCAGAGCAGAGGGGGTCCAGCCCTTGGAGCACCTTCGTGGCCTTCTCTGAAATTGCTCCAGCAGCTTCATGTCCTTTTTGTGCTGGGGACCCCAGAGCTGGAGGCAGTTCTGCAGGTGGGGTCTCATCAGAGTGGGGTAGAGGGGGAGAATCCTCTCCCTTGATCTGCTGGTCACAATTCTTTTGGATGCAGTCCAGGATATGTTTGACTTTCTGGGCTGCAAGTGCACGTTGCTGGGTCATCATGTTGATCTTCTCATCAACCAGATCAAAAAAAGTCAGGCTGCACTTGTGTTTCTGGAGAAATTATGCAGGAAATTAACTGATAACTACTTTGCCAAGGATTACAGCTGATATAAATCTGGGTTGCACCTTTGGTTGGAGAATGGAGAAGTTGCCTCAGTCTTTAAAGTAGTGTATCCGTGAGAAATAATAAAGAACAAAATGACAAAGGTGTTGGATCTCTCTTGTGTGAACACACAGTTGCTTTAGGTTATGCCATGTTACCATAGAGATTTTCATATGTCATAACTGCAGTTTAGCACAAACATAGTATTTCACATTTTTGTTGTGTTCTCCATGTAAAAATTCATCTCAGCCAGATGTAATTTAGAAAGTGAAGGGGTGTTCCACGATTATTGGTTTCATAATCCAAATCTTCTTGAGAAACAGGTCATGAACAGTTTGGCACAGACTTGGAAAATTTCATATTCCTTTGGCAGAGGAAGCTGACTAGAAATATTCAGTGATTAGATTTTCAAAGAGGTTGAACCTCTGCAGCTCTTCATATTTCCATAGCAGCGCTCCAGGGTTCGACACAGCTGAGAATCTGTTCGTTATCATCCACAGGTTTCTTTTACAACTCCCTTAGAAAAAAATGAATCTCTGTGAAATGCATCTTCCAGAGGAAAAAAATACAGCCAGCTCTGGCTGTGCCCTTCAGGAGTACACACAGCTTAAATCCATGCTCATGCTGGTTTATATGTACTGGCACCCCAAAACCACTGCCTGACTTCTGCCTGTACCAGCTTGAATATTGCATGTCTTTACACTCTCCTTTTTTATAAAGTTAATTTTTAATCACACAGTTTTATGAGGAAAATTAAGGATTTGTGCTGTGAGCCTAATTTCATGCTCTGTGGATTTGTGTATGATTTTTACAGCATGGACGTGCACTCCAGCTTTCCCTTAAAGGAGGACAATAAGCCAAATTTCTGCCTCTAACTATTTTATGAAACATGTAGGAAGTTAATATTTAGGGAGACTTTGGCTCATTGATCAGATTTGACAGATGGATACACAGATACAACACAGAAACAATGACTGCATAAGCCTTAACCCCCTGAGGAGACCAGCTAAAAAACACTTTGTGAGGAGCAGACTCACTTCTTTACAAGCATTTGCAGAATTGCAGGTGGGATTTCACATGGACTGTGGAGCTCTGGCTTCAGCCAGGAGTGGGTTGTCTCTATAAATGAAACACAAAATAGACATTAAAAATGTGTGAAATGAGAAAATCAGAGCTTTCAGTAATTTATAATTGAGCCAGAAGAGCTGATTGGACGTATCTAATATTCTGCTCAGTGTATTACAGGCTCCCCTTTGTCTGGGATGTATGCTTGGAAAAAAACCCACCCAATCATATTTACAAATGTCCACTGATAAATTTGCCTTTTTTATATTTCCATTTTTTTTTTCTTTTTTCATCATAATCAATTCTTTCTTTTCTATGATGACTTGATTATAAATATGGCATTTCGGCCATAGGTGACAGACCCACTCTGGGCCAGATGTGCTGGCTGCCTATGAAGGGCTTGGCCATAGGATGTTAGTGGTTTAAAGTAACAGGAAACCTGAGGAATATCATAAATCAGCCTTTTCTGACTAGGTTTTTGTACAGAGTATAACAAAATGTATTGAATAACTTAAGTATGTGTGAGCCTACTGCCTACCAAATTACTGGGGTCTGCCAGTGGAAAACACACTAATTTGATGTTGGCCTCAAACAGAAAATTGTTAAACGAAAATTAGGCTTCAGCATTTCAACAAAAAAATCAGCTTGGAGCTCAGTGTTAACAGGAGCCCAAGGATTTAACTAACTGTAATGAAAATAAAGAGAGACAAAATTCCTGACTTACTGAGCCCCAGTCCTGAGGAAAGGTTTCTCCTTCTGGATCCCAACACAGCAGGAGGCACAAAGCGTGTACCAAAGGGTGGGTTGTCTTTCTTTTCTCTCTCCTGCCATGGATTTCACAAGGTCATAGGTTGACATTTTGTACTTTTCCACACTTGAATTGACTTTCATTAACAATAAACAGAAGGTACTGGGCCAAAGTCATCGAGTCCATGACAGAGTGTTCTAAAACATGAAGCCTCCTGCGTGCAAGGACATCAGGAGGGGCTGAGCTCAGAGCTCCTCTCACCTGGTGTCCTGGCTCTGCCCTGGTCAGTGCAGGGCACTTCAGGGGAGGTATGAGAACCACATCTGAGCTATTCCCTGTTGGGGACCTCTTTCGAACCCCAATTGATATAAACAATCACATTTCAATTATACTCCTGGAGGTAAATCTGCCTGTGGCAGTGCAGCTTCTGCTCTAACCAGCTAAAATTAATTATTGTCAGTTGATTCATCCAAGGTCTTAAATAAAAGATAGTCTATTCTTATCATCCAATTAAAGGTCTTAAGATGTTGCCTATTTCTCTCCTAGCTCTTCTCTGCTCTACTTAAATAAAATAATAACAAGAATCCAAATGTATTTTTTCCATCTCATAACCATTCTCTCTTTATTTTTTTTAACCAATAATTTTAGACTTCCTTCAATATCCTCCTTTAGACCATTTTGTGGAGACAGTCATGGCATACTGATGTATTCTTGTTCCCTGAAATACAGGTCCCACATCAATGCTTTAGCATCCACACCTTCTCAGATGCCCGTGTTTTCCCTTTGAGAAACCACTGCAAAGTCACTTTTAAATTTATAAAGTTAATGGGCTTACAGTGGATTGGCCCAAGTTTTACCTTTTCCTCCACACTGTAGATGTTTTTTGGTGAATTTTCTTTCCTGCCCTGTCTCTCCCTTTCTTCATAGTGTCACCACATGATATACTTGTACATGGACCTCCCCTTATACTGACTCCTTATGGCTCAGAGAGCAGTTAATCCATTAAATGTTAGAGAAAGCTCCTGCTTGAAATGCACCCACAAACCATAGTCCTGAGCCATATTTCTTATTCTTTTTTTGTGACTATATTTTGGGTTCTGGCAGAGCTGCAGGGAGTGAGAGTGGCGTGCAGCCTTTCCCAGACTGTGTAGCTTGGCACCAGAAAACAATTTCTTGGGAGTTCAAAACCTGTCAGGATGCTCTCGCGAAACCGCTCCACATTTAAGATGTGTAACACTAAAATGTCACTTTTGGAGCCCAAACCAGAGTGCCTTCAGCTTTTTGATTGGCAGAAAACTGAAGGATAAGCTCCAGGGAATTTCTACTACAGCTGTAAAGTTTCAAAAATACTTTGCTGCTGCAGAAACTATAGAGTGTGGTTTAAATGAACAATATGCCCCCTTCATACCTCAGCACCAGGGAGAACAAGCTTTAGACTTCAGCATGAACAACCTATGGTTTGATTTTTAAATTATTTTTCACCCACACAGAACAGGTTAAGCAGCTTTTAGCTCAGTTTCTACCTGTCACACAAACCAAACTATATTCCAGACATCTCTGGGAGGAGGAAGAGATGATACAGATGGTTGTGCAGATGTTTGGATCCTGTTCTCTTAATGCTTTACTCAGGACAAATTTAACCTCCTTATATGCCTCATAGAAGACTAAATCACAGCCCTATTCCATGCCTGGGATCTTGGAGAAAGCCAAGTCTCTAGTTAATATGTTTATGTGACATTCTGAGCTTGGCTCTCCTCCGCCCTTGTGGGCCAAATCCTAATATGACCCAGTGCTCTCTCACATCAACTGGAGTTTTGCCTGCATAAAGCAGAAGTTAAAACTAAGCGATGCCTCCAGGTTTCAGGCCAGTGACTCCATTTCACAAAAACTCATTGTATTATAAAAAGATACATCAGCTTCAGCCCACTGCAGGGTCACTGTTTTTTGGAATTTTTTGTATTTTGGTTTCTTTTGTGGTGATGGTTTTCAAAAATCTGAAATAGGAGGAGGCAGGTCTTCTCCTCCCACTGCTGGGGCTACACCCTTCCCTGAACAAACCTGTTCTCAGCGGGACCTGAATCCCTCCTGGACCAGTTATGTCTCCTGGGGCCAGAGCTGTTGGCACCCTGCCCTACTGTGGTCAGTAGAAAGACGTTTTCTGAGGTTTCCAGAGGCTGGGTTAGGTCCTGTTTTATTGCCCAGAGAACCTGTGGATGCCCCATTCCCAGAAGTTTTCAAGGTCAGGTTGGATGGAACTCTGAGTAAACTGGTCTAGTGGAGTGGAATGAGGTGATCTTTAGGGCCCCTTCCAACCCAAGCCATCCTGTGATTCTATAATTCTATGATTCTATTTGCTTATAAACATACCCCAGCTTTTATTCCGGTCTTATTTTAACATTTACTCCTATATTGTCTCCCTACATTTCATTCAAACCAAAGAAATGATTGATGGTTTTATAGGAACAATCCTGACAAGCAACATAGAAAGAGCTAAACAGTCTTGGAAAAGGGGATTACAGTTCTTATTTTCATTACAGCTGAAAAAAACCCCACTGCTGAATGAAAACATTCAGGCACAGGGAAAATCTTCAAGCACTGATTCCCAGTGAGGGTTGCCTTGGGTTACCTGGAGCCTCCATGGTGTCCACACTTGCACAGCCAATTCTGGACATACATCTCATAGTTCCCAATGTCAAACTGGGGCTGCTGTGGGACATCTGGGCTGTCCTTTGCAGGGAACAATGAGGGAATTTGCTGGAGGACTCCCTGCCACTTGCACGATGCATTAATCCCTGTCCAAATCAGCAGAGAGGCCAAGCCTGAACCCATCAGCTGGATCAGCTGCTTTTGGCTGTAAGAGGTAAAAATTTGAGTTGGTATCATAAAATCATAGACTAATTAAGGTTGTAAAAGACCTCCAAGATCATAAAGTCCAATACCACCAATACCACCACGTCCACTAAATCATATCACAAAGTGCCACATCCACTCCTTTTTTGAATACTTCCAGGGATGGTGGCTCCACCACTTCCCTGGGGAGCATCACCTCTTTGGATGGACCACGGGTGTGCAGGCCAGGAAAGACTGTGTGCATGGAGATGTCCCTGACATGCTGGGTGTACTTTGGCTGTATGGCCTCTGTGTGGGAAGATGGGCCCCCTCACATGGGGTCAACTTCCCCCAAGGCCTGATGGTTTTGGAGCTCTTTCTCACCAGCAACACTTGAAGTTATTACAAGCCCAATGAGGACAAAAAATCAGCCAAATTCATGTTGGATGTCAATCTTCTCTACAAGTGTTTTGGAGGTGCTGTTGAGTCTCTAATCACAGCACAGCTCCTGCACTTTAATTGTGCCTCTGCTTTAGAAACACATTACAGACAAACGCCTGAGTAATCACCACAATCCCATGAATGAGCCGGATAAGAGAGATGGAGAAACTGAGAGGGAGAGACCACACAGCAAGTAGTGTGAGCCATGGGATTAGGAATTGGGATTTCTTTTTCTCTGTGCAGAATCCACGAGGCCATGCTGCCCTGGATGATCTCATGAAAGAAGTATATTTTCCATGTGTGAGGGACTCGTAGCAGTATCAGCTAAGTGCAAATTACTATGATCATTAGCCACTCTTTGAGCGAGGCAGCTGCCAGGAAGCCTGTGTGTATGTTTGAGGGAGAATTCCTAATGTCTGTGTGTCTGGAGGAGGATAAATTCTTCTATTCCCCTCCAGTAGCCTAATTAGATTTTTACTCTGTTTATTAGAAGAGTTCAGTTGCTAGCTTAACATGAAATAAAATCTGCATGATTAAGAAGTCACGAGCAGTAAAGCTTACAGTGTGTTGCTAGAAATTTTCCTTTCGTATCAACAACGATGAAATCCTCCAGTGTTAAATAAAGTGAAGGCAGGAGTGTGTTCAGATCCAGCAGCCAGGATCCAAACAGAGTGTCAAGGACAGAGGGAGGGTGGGAAGGGGGTATCATGTCATTCAAATGGCACCTTAAAAGGGAGAATTAGTGGAAATGTTGCATTTTTAGGCACACAACAGACTGGAAGGAACATTCCTCTTTATGGATCTTCACTGTAAAACAAGGATGGGAAAGATGCTGTTCCATTTGTAAACACATTCTTCAGCTCTCCTCACTGTCTTCTTTAGACACAACGGTCTGTCAAGGGTCAGAAGAAAATGAAGTAGTATCTAAATCTAAGTCTATTCAAACATCTTCAGTGGATTCCAGATCTAAGCCCTTCAGGGGTTGATGGCCCTGGTGATGTCAAAGAGCCTCCAGCTGTATTCATTAGACATCATTTTTTCTAAAGTGATTCCTGGTCTTGACCTTGGAATAAAAATCCATTGAAGACAATGAGATGTGTGGGGTTAAGTTTAGATCCTTGCATGAAAAATGCAGAGATCTATGATGAGCAGCAAATAACCACTGAGATTTCTGAAATTCAGGATTTGCCCCTCAGTTTCCAGATCTCTGGTGGCACTGGTGAAATCCAGACATGCATCCCTCAAAACCTCCGTGTAACGTTGTAGATACTGAAGGCTGGGGAACCCAAACCAGGAAAGGGGATGGATGTTCTCTTTCCCTGACTTTGCTGGGAGCAGCTGTGTCACACACAAAGCCACTAGCAACCTGCAATAGGAAATTTTCCAAATGGTCTTTGAGTTGATGACCCCAAACTCCTACTGAGAACATGTCTCTGTATTCACTTACCCATGGAAAGCAAAATACAAAGTGTTTTTTCTGCCTCCTAATAAGGTGGCAAGGTGGGTTATTCTTCTAGAGGACCTCCAAAAGCTCTTTCTAATCTGTACCAATTCTGGGCTGCACCCACAACCTCTGAGTCCACCCTAACCTCATCAATAGCCACCAACAGGATGAAGTCCTATTTCTCATTAATCATTTAAAAATCCATTAGGGCTTAGAGTCAGGGTGCAAATCCGAGGACCAAGTAGGAATCTTGGTATAGAAAGTAAGTTCTGGAGCCTAAAAAAAGAAAAGAGAAAGCTCAGAGGAGGTTAGGAGTCAAGGGAAGGAGAC